TCCTTCCTTCTTTTCATTTATTTTTTAGCTCCCACTAAAAATACTGCATGAGTGAGGACATGCAATATTTCTCTATGCTTGGCTTATTTCACTTAACATAATCTCAAGCCCATCCATGTTGCTGTGAATGGCAGAATTTCATTCTTTTCTATGGCTTAGTACTATTCCATTGTACCTATTCCATATTTTCCTTATCTAGTCATCCGTCAATGGACATTTAGGTTGGTTCCATGTCTTGGCTATTGTAAGTACAGCTGCAATAAACATGAGAGTGCAGGTATCTCTTTGACATGATTGGTAAAGGGACATGAAAATCAACTACATTGTACACTGATAAATTAAAATAATAAATAAATAAATAAATAAATAAATGATTTCCATTCCTTTGGGCATATACCCAGCAGTGGAATTGCTGGATCATATGGTAGTTCTATCTGTAGTTGTTTAAGAAACCTCCATACTGTTTTCCATAATGGCTGCACTAATTTACAGTCCCACCAACAATGTAGAAGCATTCCCCTTTCTCTGCATCCTCATCAGCATTTGTTATCTCTGTCTTTTTGACAATAGCCAGTCTAAGATAATAGCCATCACACTGGGGTGAGATGATATCTCAGTGTGGTTTTGATTTGCATTTTCCTGATGATTACTGATGTTGAGCATTTTGTCATATACTTGTTGGCCATCTGTATGTCTTCTTTTGAGAAATGAATATTGAGCTCCTTTGCCCATGTTTTATATATATATATATTTTTTACTGTTAAGTTGTTTAAGTTCCTTGTATTTTCTGGATATTAATCCCCTGTCAGATGTACAGTTTGCAAATATGTTCTCCCATTCTGTAGATTGTCTTTTTACTCTATTGATTGTTTTGCACAGCTCTTAAACTGGATAATTTTCCCTGGGTCCTCTCCTCTTTCCTCTTCTCACTTTTTATGTTTTTATGGAATGGTCTACTTCTTCCCCACAGCTTCTCCTACCATCAATTTGTTGATGGTCCCCAAATTTACCTGCCTCCCATATTCCCAAACTTGTATTCTCTTTAGCCAATTCCCCAGTCCTCCCACTTTAGGGTCAACTTTAACATCTCCTTTTCTCCAACTTTCCATCCCTACTCAAATACTAAGACATATTGGTTCACTGTGATGTTGTATTTATATATTGGTTTTCATCCACAATTCCTGACTCATGCTACTCTCTGACTTTCTCTTGCCCTCTTTTCACCTGCTCCTTTTTCTCCCTGAGGCAGGAAATTCTCTGACCCACATTGTCTGATTGTGGTTCATGGGACCTCCCATTACAGAAGGGATCCTGCCCCATGCCTGGGAGCAAGGAATGCTGCACAGAGAGGTCAAGAAGAACCTGAACAAACAGGCCTTGCTGGGTTTCCCCACCCAGTCTGTTACTGGTAGATCACACCCTTCTTGTCCAATCACATTTGTACACAACTGTCCATGCTTCAATCGTGCCTATCCAATGAAGTCTTCATAAAAGACCCAAGAGTACAGGGTTCAGGGAGTTCTAGAAAGCTGTGAGAGCAAAGGAAAGCCAGTGTGTGTTTTCTCACTCACTAACATACTTCAAAAATGCCTCCTTGGGCTGGCCCCGTGGCGCACTCGGGAGAGTGCGGCACTGGGAGCACAGCGACGCTCCCGCCACGGGTTAGGATCCTATATAGGGATGGCCGGTGCGCTCACTGGCTGAGCACGGTGTGGGTGACACCACACCAAGGATGCGATCCCCTTACCAGTCATGAAAAAGACAAAAAAAAAAAAAAAAAGAAATGCCTCCTTAATTCCACCCCCCCCAACCTCTCAACCTGTCCATGTCTACTTCTAGTGCTTTAGCTCAGACCCCACCACTTCTTCATCTCTGCAACAGGTCTCCAAATGTCTCACTACTGCCTGTTTCTCTGGCCTGTTCACTGTACCTCGGGTCAGAATTACTCAACAAGGGCCGGCCCGGTGGCGCACTGCTACAGTGCGCTGCTTGGGAGTGCGGTGGCGCTCCCGCCGAGGGTTCGGATCCCACATACAGACCGGCCGCTCACTGGCTGAGCGAGGTGCGGGCGCAACACCGAGGGTTGCGATTCCGTTGCTGGTCCCGGTCCGGTACGGGCACAACACTGAGGGTTGCGATCCGTTGCCGGTCACGAAAAAAGACAAAAGGGAAAAAAAAAAAAAAGAATTACTCAACAAAAGTGTGCTTGCACATGCACACACACACACACACACTCCCCTGACCATGAAAGACCCTTCCTGGTTGTCTGTTGTCATTCTAACAATAACTATGCCTATTGTTTAAGGAGTGCTTCCTAAGGGTCAAAACTGCTAAAAGCTATTAATTGAAAAAAAAAAAAAAAAAAGCATTTACCTCCTTTATTTCTCTGAAAATTTGTTGAGGTGTTTACTGTTATCCTCATTTTATCCACTAGTAGTGTAAGGAGTGTAAGGAAAGTAGTGCAAGGCACTTGCTCCCAATTACAAAGTTATTTAGTAATGGAGCTCAAATTCAAATACAGTTCATTCTGACCCCAAGGCCTCTGGGCTTAACCACTGTACAAAACTGCCTCCAAGTTACACTAAACTGGTTGGTACAGCACATGAGGCCCTTCAGAGTCCAGCCTGAACCAACTTCTTTATCCTCATCTCCACTTCTTACATTCCAGGAATCAGACCCACTGAACCTGTTACTGTTCTTCCAATGCTTTGCCCTTTCAACAATTAGAAATTGCTTGCCCAGTATGGTGCTCATCATGAGCCAGGTGCTCCTCATGAGTTCTACCCACATGTATCCTGTTTCTTTTGCCTATAATTCTCTTTCCCCCTTCTATGCCTGGAATATTCTGAGTCAGTTTTCAAAAGTCACCTGAAATATTTCCTCCTCCCCTGTCAAGCCTTCCAGATGCACTGGGAAAGTTAGGTTTCTGCACCTCTTTGTTCCATAGCATGCCTTTAATCCCTTCATTGTGATCTTTAGCCTCTCATATTGCAATAAATCTGTTTATAAGTCTGTCTCCTGTTATTCATCTACTGCAAACTCACTAGGGTCAGGGAATGTCTTATTCATCTCTTTCTCTACAGCCATTCACATGTGTAATAAGTCTTCAAAATCTAATTGTTGAATGAATAGTACATGAATGAATGACAGAAGCACTTTTCATAAATGCTCTCCTTTTTTAATTAGCTCTCCTGAAGTCTAATTCTAGCCCTGGCTATTATGTCACATAATTGAAAGTGGAATAAAGAGTGTGCTAAGTATCCCAAAAGTCACTGAAAAACAGCTTAGAGCTATGCGGATCAATATAGCAGCCACTAGATGCATGTGGCTATTAAGCACTTGCAATATGGCTAGTGTGACTTGAGATGTGCTATAAATGTAAAATACACACAGGATTTCAAAGACTTAAGTTTTTAAAAGAATGCAAACTATCTCATTAATTTTTTTTTTACATCTATTACATATTGAAATGATGTTTCGGGTATATCGGGTATATAAAATACATTATGAAAATTATTTCCCTCATTTCTTTTTGCTTTTCTAATATGACTACTAGAAAACTTTAAAATTACATATGTTGGGGAGTAGGAGGGGGGGAAAGAGGAATTGGTAAAGGGACTTGAAAATCAACTACATTGTATATTGATAAATTAAAATAAAAAATAAAATTACATATGTGACTTGCATTATATTTCAGTTGGACAGAAGGGGGGAAAGAGGAATTGGTAAAGGGACTTGAAAATCAACTACATTGTATATCGATAAATTAAAATAAAAAATAAAATTACATATGTGACTTGCATTATATTTCAGTTGGACAGAGCTGGTTTACAGTTTCTAATTTTATGAGGGTAGTCACTGTGGTTTGGGTAGGAAAACACCAGTCTAAGAGTGAGGAAACTTTCCTTTCTCTATCCTCCAAAGTCACATATGTAAGGCAGTCAGGAAAGAAGGAAGGAAGGAAGGAGTAAGTAAATAAGTGAGTTGGTTATTTCCATTTTAACTAACAAATAATTCAGTCAGAGAGTTAATATATCATGTGACTCTACATTCTGGGGATTAAAATCATCTTTTCAACTTAATATCAACTATTCAGCAGTTTAATTTTATATTGTTACATAAAATTATATAACAATAATTTTATAACTGTTAATCATGCACTGAGAAGGCCCTAGCTATGTCTAGACTTTAACACAGATAATGAAAAATATTAAACAATAGCTAATGCACTAGAACTTTCTAAGGAGGGCATTATCCAATAGAACTCAGAATGAAAAAGGACCTTATATTTTATTAACCTTTTAATATTTCTGACGTTTATTAGATACCACCTCAAATTCTTATTGAAGAGAGCCAGAGAAGAAAGAAAGAGAAGGAAATAAAGCAAAGACAAAAGAAAAAAAAAAAAGAAAGAAAGAAAAAGAAAAGGAAAGGGGAGGAGAGCAGAGGAAAGGAAAATAGAACAAGAAAAAAGTTCAGTGTCCACACTCTTCAATTACTAATGATCATTAAAGTTTACTTAGGCTCCATGGTTCTTAGAGGTCTTCTAGTCTAACTCTTAAACAGTTGTTAAACTCTGCTCTGGCAACCTCAACATATCAGTGGAATATAAGTATTATTCAGTAGGTATTTCCTATAAAGGCTACTAAAATTATGTCATGGTATGGTACAAAAACGATTGGTTGGAAAATTCAGAGATTTGGGTTCTTGTCAGCTTGGGCCTTCTTTCTTTTTCCTGCCTTACCTCAAAATTGGGTAATAAAATGATCTGTCCCCAGATTTTGTTACAAAATGAATTATTTCATTTTTATATTTTTAAGATAAAAAGTAGACAATTCTTTAATGTAATCCAAAGTCACAATGTTCATTACCATCTCAGATTTAAAAGTCTTAAAAATTCTCTACAGTTTTCCTCCATGTTAATAAAGAGTTGTTTAGAAGAAGAAAAAAACCTGAAGTCACTTTTATTGTAGAATCAAAGCATGAAAATATTTTCTTACCACTCCTCATCTGTTCAACCTCACAGAAGTGTGTCCCAGTGGGAGTGAGAATAAATGCATGGATGTGCTCTACTCCATTCTGAAAATCAGAAAAAAAAAATGTTTCCAGTAAAATTTCAGCATATGCCAGAAAGCCAATTTCTTTAATTAAACCGGGAACAGAAATAATTGAGTTAACCTTTTCAAAACGCTTCCAAGGGACTTCTTCCACATAGACTTGAGCTCGAATAACATGGTTAAAAGAAGAAAGGAAATGCTCACAAATATTCAGAGCAAAGACTTCTATGCTTTCGATCTGTAAAAGGAAACAAAAATGATAGTGATCAGAAATATTTGCCCCATTTAAAAATAATTTTTAAATACTGTTAAACAAAATTATGGGAGGCCATTGTTTTTGCACTGAGCTCCTGCACTAGGTCCCAACAGAGCAGACAAAGCCAATATAGAGTCACTTGTGCTAAATGCCACATAATCAAACTGAAACTTTAAGGAAGCAGATAGATCCCCAAACAGAACAGTCTTTCCTGAAAACAGAATATTCCAGTCTGAGTCAGCTTAATAAGTCCTCTCAGCTTTAACCATTACAAAAAAAGGGAACCTGAAGTAACCTGATGTTAACCAAGCAGTTTTTGTTGTTGTTGTTCTGTTTCCTTGTTCCCACCTTACAAAACCCAGTGTTCTGTTATTGGCCAGGGGAGCTTTCATTCTATTTTGTAAAATGGAGGCTGACTGATTCATGAATTGCAAATAAAAACCAATTCGGTCTACAACTAAATTTGTTGTAATTCTGTCTTTTGACAATACTCATGGACCTCTCTGTCCTGACTGATTCCTTTTGAGAATGAGAGAAGCACAGAATTAGAAAGAATCTGAAGAGATGAATTGGTCCTTATCCCAATTTTTCACTAGAGCTCCCAAAGTGTAGTTAATAAATCACCATCACCAAGTGCGACTCTCCTGTATTTAAAAGAAGTACATTTTGCAGGAGAGGGTTTGTTCAGTGGATGAGCAAAAAGTAACATAACATTTAGATTCTTTTCATGGTGAGCTCAGATATCACCTACGTCAACCACAGCACACTCTATAACACTCTTATCTCTTTATGAATTTTGCAAATGGGACTGCCAGTTTCCCTAGGAAAAATGTTAATGTGGGGCCAACTCACCTTCCTTGCCTTACATACAGGCCTTCTATTGATCATCCCAGCTCCTGTAGTACAGAAAGCAGCTCCCCACTTCCACACAGATTCTCCATATTAATCTCTAGGCATTATTATATGGTCCTAGCATAGTTTACTAATTATTAATGGCTTTGCCCATAATTAAGGTGGACTATTTGTACAGATCCCCAGCATAGCTCTGTTTTATACCGGTTGTCCCAGAATAATTATTAATAGCATCCTATTTCACTATTAAAAGTGTCCTGGTTTGGATAAAAAATTATACAGTCACTCTATAATAAATGAATTTAAACTGTTTTTAACATTCAGGTCCATTCTTTTGCTTTTCTGCAACCTCTCACACAGGACAGGAAATATAAGAATCTGTGGCACCTGGCCCTCTTCCACATCACAGTACAAACCTGTTTTCAAATGATTTTTTTCAGGAGAGCAATTCCTTTTTCTATGACCCTGTCTGTGTTTGCTGGGCCATTCTGATTAGCAAGAGAAAGCTTCAGCATGGAAATAGGCCTTGCAGAAATTATGTTCCAATTAGTTTATTCATTTAATGTACCAAGGGTGTTGATTTCATGCAAAAACATGAAAAAAGATGTTGTCCAGTCTATATTTCGTGTCTTTTTAGACTTCTTGGCAAATAAAAAATTATGTTGAATGGCTCAAAAATCCACTGGTGATCCAGCAGAGCTTCACTCACACTTAAAGAACCTGGAGGTAGAAGGGCTAAAATATCGATCCTGTCATGTCTAAGTCTCTCTTGAAAAGTACAATTAACCACCATATACGGAGAGTAGGTGGTAATGGAGTTGAGGAAGTTAAAAAGCCATTAAAATTCGGACAAATATATTTTGACAATAAAAGAAACATATCTTATATTCAATATTTTCTTCTGTAGTAACAACAGGAAGAGAAATAGTACTTTCTTCTATAAATGCATACCATTCTTAAAGAAAAAAAAATGATAGGACTCAAAGGAATGCATAACAATAATGTGTTAAATTCTATTCTGAAATCTTCTCAGGACCTCAATTTCCTATGATCCGAATTAGAGATCATGTGTAAATATGTCTAATAGAATTCTCTACCTAAAAGACTATAGCGAGATGAAAGCCAAGAAGATAGGACCAAGAAGTGAATTAAAAAAAAAACAAAAAAACAAGCTTTTCTGCAAGCCTGAGAATTTTAGGAGAGAAAAGAACATTTTTAAAAATGGTTTAAATGTAAAAATAAGTTAAAAGTAAAGGAAACCTGAAAAAAGCAAGTAACACTCCCATGCTATCTTATAGTGAATTCTGCATAAAGATAGGCAGCATTTAAGAAGAATCACTCATACCCCTTTGAACTTTGCCAAGACGTTAACTGTGTTCTTAATGGTGTCTGTAGGGATGACATCTGAATTATCTCCAAACTGGTAATCTTTTTTGGAACTTAGAGTAAGTTGCACTGAAGTTACCACCTCTTTAATGCTGTGATATATTCCATCTCTCTGAATATGGAGAACTTTTACCATCTCTTTTCCATAGCCAGTTCGGACAAACTCCACTTCATCGTGCTGCAATGAAAGACATATTCATCTGATTGAAAAAGGTTAAATGAAAGCAAAAAGTCAGCTGCAATTTGTTTAAGCCTTAATTTTATCATACAATTATAAATTTGAGTTCAGAGTATTTATAAAAGCAATATCATTTCCTGCCTTTGAAGACAAATGGGAACTTGTATACAAAAAAGACAATCCCAAGAAATAAATAAAAATATATCAGATTGCCCTGAAGACAGACAGGTAGATGACTTTCTTGATGATAGAATAATAATAATAATAATAATGATAAATAAATAAATAACAATAATAGAACCTCCTGAGTCAAAACTATGCTGACTTGCTCTGTTTACTTTAATCCCTGCTAACTTAATCCTTATAACAGTTCTGTGAACTAATATTACCATTTTACAGAGGAAGAAACTGAGGTTCAAAGTGAATAAGTGACTTGCCCTAGTTCACATCGCTAATAAAGGACAGATTCAGGATTTGCATTCAAGTCTGTTAACTCCAAACTGTAGATAGGCCACTGTGTAAACTATCTTTCTTCCCTGAAATTTCCTGACTGTATTAACTGGAAATAATTATATGTCCTTTGTTATAGAGAATGATATTCTGGAGAAAATGCCCTGTGATCAATAGAAACAATTTGAAAATTGCCTTTTCTACTTGTGGCTGGGAAGGAGAAGAGTATTTAGTGACAGGGTCCAGATTACCTTCAGGAGTGCAGAGCCAGGGCTGTCGGCTGCAGGAAGAGCTATGCTTTTAGTTAAGAGACACTTAATAAAAGCCTGGTGATTGATTCATTAGTACTCTTGTCTGAAGCTAGAGCCTAAGCAAAAAGGCTCCGGGTGGGGAGACAAAGAAGGAACGCCACTACCTTTCCCTCCTAGAAACAGAGATGTAAATTCTCTCCTTACTGGAGATGGCTCTGAGCTCTTATCTTTCCATCCATTTATCTTCCCATACTTTCCCACCTTTGGAAGCCTAAAAATTCTCTCTTCTTTGTCTTGTCACTTCTGAAATCTATGGCTCTTTGTTAAAATACTATTTAAGCAAAGCACCGTCTCCTGCCACTAAATATCCAAGGTACAGTAGTTTAGCCTGTGAAAGCAAGTGGTACTTATGTGGTGTACAGAAAGATTAAATGATAGCCACCTTTCATATCCCCACCCCTTCTCACCCCTCCAGCTTCATATCTGGCCACATCCTATATCAGACTCTGCTTCAGCTATGCTGAGCTAATTGTGGGTGCCCAGGCACTGCATGCTTTCTCTGCCTGTAGGATTGTGAATTTGCTATTCTTTCTTGCTCAAACACTTTTTCTCCTCCTCGCTACCCAACCACCAGCCTCTACACCAGCCTTACTTCTTCTAGTCATCTTTCCATTCTCAGATGTAACTTCCCCCAGGTAATCTGCCCCAGCCCTTCAAGTCTGGAATAGGTGCCCCTTTTATGTGCTCTTGAAACACTTATTGCCTTATCAGAATCTACATGGATTTGTACTGTAATTGCCTCTTCATGTGTCTGATTCATTTTAAAGCAGTACACTATGAAAACAGGAACAAGATCTATTTTGGTTACCATGGCAACCCCAGCACTCAGCACAGTGCCTGGAACATAAACAGGTGCTTAATAAATGAGTCATGAATGAATGGATGGTGCTACCACCACCTCCACTGCATGTATGATGACATGGAATGGTTAATGAAAATACACAAAAGATTTCAATGCCGGAAGAGCCCATTCAACTCAGACCCAATCAGGAAGTTCCTCTTTCTGGGAAAGTGGGGAAGGGAACTTATGCCTTCTGATCACCACAGCCTGGAGATCACAGGCACGGCAGTGATCACAGGCCAGAGAACAAAGGCCCAGGGAGGGCAGAATTGAGTGAAGAGAGAGTCAGTGATGCAGCACAAAGTGTTCACATTGCTAACAAGACAGTGCTCCAGCACAGCACAGCCATCCTGGAGTTCACACGAGACACACGCAGGAGACCCCAAGAAGGCTAAGCAAAGTTTGGCACTTGCGCAAAGCTTGGGTAATCAAGTTTACTGAGCAATAAGTCAGAATTAAAAGGACCAACCATCTGAGCCTGGAGCAGGATGGAACAAGTCCACGTGGGACACCCAAAAGAGTCTCTCAGCAGGACTTAACAGAACAGAGGCTGTTCTCCCCGAGTTGTGTAGTTAGAGAAATCAAAAGTAGGTGTCGAACCCCATTGTTTTTGAAGCAGAGTATGGTGCAGAGATCCATGTCCAAGATAACCATACAGTTACAAAGGTTGCTCTCATCTGGAGGGGAGATGGGTGGCTAAGAGGATGGGCTTTGGGCTCTGGAGTCATGCAGCCCAGGTAGAATCCTTGTTCTGCCACCTATCAGCTCTGAACGAGGCAGATTTCTCCATCTATAAAATAGGAATAATAGTAGTGTCCATCTCTCAGGACTGATGTGAGGATTATATGAGAAAAGACATGAAGCACTTAGAAAAGTGCCTGGCAAATAGTAAGTGCTCAATAAATGTTAGCTATAATTATCATTGGTAAATAATAATTATATGTCAAATTTTGCATTAAATGATCCTTCGAGATACCGATAACTACCTAGAGCACACACCAGTCCAGATCTGAGCTGGGGAAAATCAAAGGGCTGCTGCCATGATAAGACCTACTTCTGCTGCCTACCCTCAGGTATATCGTCCTTATGTAAGTTTTCTTGATCACTGATACCCACACCTTCGATTGTCATTCCTCAGGTATTTGTGTCTTGAGGAAAGAAAGTTATAAAAGAAAACTCAATTTCCTAGAGTAATCCTCTGGACAAAATACCAGCATTAAAAAACCTTTACCTGGCTGTACACAAGAAAAATCTCCTTTTCAATACATGTCTTGAAATGTAAAGGGACAGAGAATCATTACCTGTCTGCAAGTAATGTTGGAGAGAACTCTCAGGGATTTTATATAACTCTTAATGAATTTCCATTTCTGCAATGAGATGGTGAGTGTTCTCTTATTACCAGGCCATACTGAAAGTGATATAGGTTGTCACCACAGGTCGAGGAGTTCTTAGCCTGGAGTCTGTTGATTTGAGGCAGAACAGTGCACTCCATGAAGTTGTAACTAAACCTTTATGTGTTTGAGGAGTAGAAGGGGTAAATTTTTCTGGGGACAGCATTCATAGGATTTCATTAGATTCCAAAAGGGTTCATGACTCATAAAAGTTTAAGAACCACTGTTCTGTGTAACTGGGGTCCGAATTGTTAAAATCACTTTGGTCAAACTGACTGCTGTGGTCTGACAGCTAGCCATGAGATAGCAGGAGGGAGACGACTTGTTCATTCTTGGCATTCAGCCACTGGGATGCAATGGAACTGCTAGCTTTGTTCAGGTCACACTGGAAAGCCATGTAAAGCACATGGACCCTAGAGTCTGACTGCCTGAGTTTGAATTCTGGCTCTACTAGCTGCTAGCTGTATGGCCCTGTGCGAGTTACTGAATCATTCTGCCCCTTCCCCTTTTGATCTGTAAAATAGAATAATGATAGTACCTATTTCCCATAATTGCTGTGAGGCTGAAAGTAAGTGCTTAGAACAGGGACTAGCACATAGTGTCAGAAAATATTAGCTATCATTATCTGGCCTACCAAGTTGACCAAAAGTAGTGGTTGGAACATTTTGATATCAGTTCCATCGCTAAGTATGGAGAATTTGCCTTGTTTCTTTTTTTGATAAAGAAGACTGAGAATCTCATACAGGTGTGTGTTGCTTTGTGCTGTAGGTATGCTACTAATAAAACAAATCCTTGTCAATATTGATTATATTTTAAATGAATCCTAGCTGCGTATACACAGAGGGCAAATCTTTATATAAACCTAATTCTTCTCCACCCATGCTCCATACTTTCTAGCTCTGCACATTTATCCATGCCTCCTTTTATTGTTTTGCTTTTTGTTTTTTAAATTTCCTATGCTTACTTTTAATAACATTCACATATTTGTGCTTAAATGTATCAGATACCAAATGAGTTTACCCAGACAGAGGCAGAAAGAAGTACATTTCTTTGGCCACACAGACAGGATTTGACTCCAAGTCTCTGTGATTTTTAACCTCCAGCCAACACTCTTTCCTCCTGCTCGCATGCCCTCTTTCCAAATATAGTGGCTCATTCCACACTGGGCTTCCTCCATCAAGTTTTCCTTGATGCCTCCAACAGGAAATAATGTCTCCTGCCTTTGAAATCCCAATGCACTTTAGGTGAACAGTCAAAGCTGAGGTCATTTTCTTCCTTTATTATTAGTGTATACATCTTAGTACTCCCAATATCAATGTCTTGAAGGCAATATCTTCAAGTCATCTTCATGCTCCCCACAGCACTTGACAGTGCTCTGTAAATGGTTATAAACTATTTGTCGAAGGAATAAGCTCCCTCATTTAGCAGATTATTTGAGAAAATTTAGGTCATTTTTATTTTAAACAGGAAAAACACTGTTTTTCAGCTCTAGCTTCAGGTTCATATTTTCAAGTTATAGGATGAAGTAGAGAGGTAGAGAGAGACCCAACCTACATCAATCTATATTCTCCTATAAGAACTCTCATAGAAAAAAGAAACAAGGTTTATTTGTGTCACTTGTGAGCTAAAAGTTATTCTCAGAAAATAAAAATCCTTTTGAAAGTGCCTGTGGACCTCTATATTATTAAATATTATCAGAAGTAGTGGTGTTATGGCACAGTTTCCAACTAGGTAAGCCTCTAGCACACACTCATTTATTTTTTGCACAGAACTTCTTCATTTTATTGGCTTTCTTTAGCCATAGTCTTATGTTTTTGATTCCAGTATGTCATACTTCAACCATTGAATTTCTCTACTCTGCTGGCAAAAGAAAATATTTCATTTAAGGTTATTGTTGTTTTTAATTAGCTTTTTCCAAAATTCAGATGTAAGTTTTGATTTGGTATATATGTGTGTTCACCAAATACGTGCTCATCTATGTAGATTTTAATTAGAGGAAGATTATTG